TTTGATGTGTATTACTGAACATTTGTCTATTTTCTCAAACATGTCGCAAATCTACAACAGGTTGCCTTCAGCCTGTGTGGGCTTTTTGTTGTTGTTATTTAGTTCCTGGGAGGACCCTGGTATCTTTGCTTAAAAAAAGAAATAATCCACTAGAGATTAACCATAGACCTCAGTCTATGATCTTTCTGACTTAGTACTAATAAGCTTGGTCTATATTTCAGAGTGTAATAATTCTTTCCATTTTAGGGAGCTATTGCAATTTGTAAAAGCAAATGATGACATAGCTCAAGAAATTGCTGAAAGGTAAGTTCTGTTCATTTTTCCTTTTCCACTTTACCTTATCTTCCCCATTTTGCCCTAGCTAAAGTTACATGAGTCTTGTTGCCGTGGTGATATCCGGATTTCATCGTCATTAAACAGAGGTAATCAGAATTAAAGCTGTCCTGGGGGAAAAACACACATTCACATATGTCCCAAGCCCGTCCTTTATAGACATAGACTGAAATCTTTCAGGTAATTAAACAAGTATTTTTTATGACCATTAGTTTTATGTATGTTTGCTTTTAAGAAAAAAAAATTATTCTATTGCTAAATGCATGTGTGTGGATACGATAGCTATAGGGTTGGTTCTGCAGATCAAGTGAATTAATTCATGTAAAGTACTCTGAACAGTGCTTGACACACAGTAAGCCATCAGGTGTAAGCTAGTAGTAGTAGTAAATGCTGTGCTTAAATGTTCTTGTTAATCTTGTCCCCAGGGGAAGCCAGTTTATTTTGAACCACTTGCAGATGGATGACATCACCTGTTACTGGGAGAACCTGTTGACTGAATACTCTAAATTCCTCTCCTATAATGTAACAAGAAGGAAAGGCTACAATCAAATTATTCCCAAAATTTTGAAAACTGAACTCTAGTAGTCATCATCAGACCATAGTCCTCTCGATGGCAGCAGATCTCAGACACCTGTGATGAGAAGCTTACCATGAGTGTGGCACCTACACCTTGAATACTGTTATCAAGCCAAATACCTGGTTTTCCTTATCATGCTGCACCCAGAGCAACTCTCAAGAAAGATCCAAAATGTCTATAATACAGATATGAAGCAGCTTAACGCTTTGGCTGAATAAGGACCAGAAATCATGAGATGTGGGTTTTGAACTCGATTCTACTTGTCTTTTTCTGAGGAGCAATCACAGCTTATGCCTCAGATCATCTACATGTGTATGTCCATCACTGTGAAACTGTGTCCACGGGATAATGCCCTTTGTCCCATTATGTGGAGCAGAAAATCAACCATTTGGAACTTCTACAGCTCATCACCGCAATTCTGCAGTCATTCTAGGCTTGATCTCTGCCACTATATTTTAATGCAGGAAGCCCTATAGGGTTTGTGAAAAATACCTGGGGATCACTCCCTGAAAGGCCTGAGGAAGCAGTAGTTGTGCCATGCAGTGATGTAGGAGTTCTCTTTTGTAAAAGCATAAACTCTTTGATACTCAGGAGGTTTCTATAATGCCACATAGAAAGGGGCCAATTGCATGAGTAATTATTGCAATTGGATTTCAAATTCCATTTTTGTGCCTTCACATCCTTCTTTTTATTGTCTCTCAAAAAAGAGGACAAAAACCTCTTAATAAATTTAGGAAATAGTCCTACTCTTTAAAGGAACTGTGTACAAAACAGCAACTCTTTCTCACCCTTTGCACACCCTTAATATTTTTCCTCCTTAAGTTGGCAGCAGTCCACACTCTCAGTATCTTGCAGGGATCTCAAGGAGTCTTCACATGCGAAATGCTGCTAAGTTGGGAGTTGAGAGCATTTAACTTTAGCGCTTACTTATATAAGAGATGTTTGTTTTAGTGCAAATTCATATTGGAGTGCCTCCTTTTCCCTTGTTTTCCTTTTTGAAAAAAAGACATTTGGATAATAGTTTAATCTCTCAGGATGCTCTCCCTAACATAGTCAAAAATGAAGAAAAATTTCTAGATTAAAAACCATATAGTCTGATGACTCAGAACCATCCTTGTCTCTTGGGCCCAACCTTTCCACAGAGAAATCAACTCTTTCCTTTGGCTCTTAAGAACTGTTTTGTATTAATTGGTTTTAAAATTAGTAAATGTAACATTCAGTCATATAAAATCAGGGATTTTATTCTATTTGTGAGAAATGTATTTGTCCTTTTAAACTCCCTTGCACAAAATTGTAAGCCTAAGGAACTTCTTAGAGGAGTTGAATATCCCTGGTAAGATCATTGCATGGAATAAGGTAGACGTTTAAAGTTGGATTTTGTGTTTTTGAGTATGAAAAATTCATGGGGACCATGTGTCCTTAGGTGCTATGAGTCTGGTGATAAGCCGTCCAGACTTCTGAGTTGTACTGTGGTTTTCCCTTGTCAATATGAGGCCCTGGTAGATGTTATCATTCTCTCTGTACTTTAATTTTCTCTCACTAAACTAGGAGTAAAATTTGCTGTCCTTTGGATTAGGAGCTGAAGCTGCATTTCCCTGGGAGGTTTCCCATTTGCTTCAAGTTCTGGCTCAAGCATCATCTTCTCTCTGAATCCTTTTTTTCATTCCTCTAGGCAGTTAGGTGCTATCATAATACTTTTTTCATGCGTGTATTATGTGACATGACATTGCTCTGCAGTTATTAGACTATTTCTCCTCCTGTTCTGTGAGCTTCTTGATGGGTGAGAATCATATTTTACTCATCTTGATGTCTCCATTATCCAGCACAGTGCCTCCCACAGAGTAGATACTAAAGAATTGTTGGATGGATGGTTGGATGGATGGATGGATGGATGGATGGATGGATGGATGGATGGAGACATGGAGACATTTAGTTTAACTAAATCCTATTTACAGATTGCCCAGCCTTTGGCTCCAAGGAGGACTGGACAAGACTGTAAGAATTGGATCAATGCAAATTCTCACTTGCCCTTTGAAGAGTCAATAAGGGCATCTTTGTATTTAAATATAGCAGATGTTATTCAGATTTTATACTTGTTTATTTGTAGATGTAATTGTAATTGTAATTGTAGATGTAATTCAGTGTAGATGGTATGAGGATGGTGTGTAACAATATGTAAAATGTATGTTTTGAAAATAATTTTTATCCCCATAAGTTTTGGAGATTGTTGTTATTTGTTGTTATTAACACTTGCTGGGTCCCAAACTTATGCTTTCCTCCTCGGAGAGCTAAAGGCCACAATTTTCTTCAAGGAAAGAGAATAATTTAGCTTATTTGAATGGAGTGGGATGCATGGATAACACAAGTAATGCTTTTCCTTTATTTGGGGAGTATCCCCTGTGTGATGTGGTCAGTGTCCCACCTTATTCTACAATATTACGTCAGGTTCTCCTAGTTGCCAAGACCAGAAACTACCTCTAGCTAGTTTAAGCAAAAGAACTTATCAGAAGGATATGAGGGCATTTTGATGAATCGAAACAAGTTTCGCAGCAGTTGGAAGGGTAAAAAGCAGGGCAACTCCGGGAATCTCAGCAAGAGTTTTGGACTACCTCTAGAGTGCTGCTGTGTGCAGTTCCAGAGACTTCCAGGCTCTGTCTCTCAGTCCAAGATTCCCAAAAGAAAAAAACTGAATGGGCTCCTTGGGGTCAGGTCCAAAGAGGATAGTTCCCTACCCTCACTCCTACACCAACTATGAACAAGAGTACACACAGATACATAAAGACCGGCTTTCCCATGCATCTAAAGATGCCTTTATTTAAGATAATCCTACTGCATCAGAGATAAGGTATTGTTGGTGAGGCAGAGGGGTAAAATTACAATTACGAATTTAATATTTATCAAGTACTTCTTGAGCATCTACTGTGCACAAACAGAGGGAGATAAGAAAATGTTTACAATAGGCTCCCTGGCCTCAAGGAGCTTTGTAGTTGAGAGGATAAAGTAACACAATGAGAAGCATCATAGGTGGAAGATGATTAAGGTGACATGAGGCCTTAATCATAAAGCCAATTATTCATAAAGACCATGTGGACTTGGAGTTTAGAGGAAGAAGAAATTTCCATCTGATGGAGATGAGAAACTTGATGGAGGTAAAAATTGAGTTACCCTTTGAGGGATGGGTAAATGAAGTGGTCCTTGGAGTTCAAAATTCATTCTCCCTGTGGAAACAGTTTATGTCATATATGATATAATACAATGTAATATATGTAGCAAGAGCAGTACCTGGTGAACCTGGCAGGGGAAGGGAACCTTCTGACCCCTAGGAGAAAATTCACGATGGGGAAAGAAGCTGTTGGGTTCTATGAGCTGAACTCAGCAACAAGGGCTGAGGGTAGGAGACTGGTGGTTCCAGGCACAGTGTGGTGACTGCACTGAAATCTTTCCCTGACGCCTTTACTCTGGTGGCAAATGCACGTCCTGGGGAGGAGAGCTGTATATGAAACAGAGTGGTCCAAGTAAACCTCATAACATCTTTTGGCTTAGTGTTGCTCTGAGACCCTTCAAAAAGAGCAGACCACAGAGGAGGGAGAGTATTTCCCTAGTGGTAAAAGAGGATAAGCCCTGGGGGCTTGGCGTGTGGGAAGGTGACAGAAGTAGGTCGTCTGAGGAGCTGAGATGGACTAGCAGCAACAGTGTGAGCAGTGGCCAAAGGTCTGGGGACTTCCTGTGGTACTAGATGGTAAAGGGAACCTTACAAATGAGGCTCCAGTTACCAAAGGAGAAAGCAGCTATGGGGTTGGTGAAGTTTGCCTGTTAACATGACCTCATTTTTATCTACAGGGTAGTGAATCCTGGGGACATTTGAGTTGAATATAAATGACTTCACTAGTATCTGCTCAACCCCCTTGCCCCCCACTTCCAAGTCCTCCATCATCCCAGAATGATTTGGGGGTGATCTTCAGCATTAAGCTTTTTCTACATGTAGACTAGACAGACTGCACAGCCATTTTCTTGGGCCTGGGACTTTATCCTGGTGCCCAGCTGTGACTATATGGGATAAGCAGCAACCTTGAGCCAGAGCCAGGAGTCAGAGGATCTGAAGTCTTCATTCAACAACCTACATGCCAGACATTGTGCTAGGTCCTGGAAATACAGAGAGGAATATACATGGTCTATACATGGTCTCTGACCCCAGAGTTAGTCTACTGAGACACCTTAGCAAATAGGAAATTGTGATGCAGTGTAGTAAATGCTATGATGGGAGCTGAATCTAATCCTGTCTCCCAGACACTTCCTGGCACTGTCACTAATGCAGCTAGTCACTCTAGTCAGTCACTTCCCTGGACCTTATTTACAGAATTCCAGCTATCAAATTCCAGGATTCTATTTACTGTATTTTACTAAAGAGTGTAGCAATTTTGAATTACATCTAGAATAAAGGAGGGGTAGAGTGGCAAAGAGAATAAGGTTCTATGTTTGGTTGCTAGCAAAAATTAAATGAAATTACACAATCAGTTTGAGAATATTTTAAATGCGTGTACTTTAATAAAAATTATACTTCAAAGCATATGTTAGCAGAGGCTGTAGTGACGGGAAATTATTGCTGCACTATCAAACACCTGATAGAAATTCCAGAAATTGTCCTGCCTTTTGAGAAACAGTAGGCATATGAACTAAGGGAAGTAAAATCCATCTTGTGAAGAACTGCCCAAAGCTGATTTTTCAAAAAAATGTTCTGATAACCTGGGCACCAAGACCCATCTTCAATGCCTCCGTCCTTCCCAGCAACCAGAACTGAACGAGTACGAACGCACGCCGCCCAGCCCGGGAGGCTTCTCGCGCCGTGACAGCGTGGGTTGGGCTTGTATTTGCGCAAACTGCCTTGCCCTCTCTCCATACTCCACTTGTTCTGAACACTGCACTTTTTCCTTCCTCTACGTAGGGCTTCTGGCCTCTTAAACACGCTAAACTACTTCAGCCTAAGACCACTCTGATGACTGGAACCCACCCCCATCCCAGTGTGCGTAGCCCAGGAGGCGCAGGGAGACGGGGTTAGGGGCGGAGCCAAACGGCACTGAGCGTGGCTACTCGCTGCCAACTCACTTCCGGGGGGTGGGTCAGGCACCGCTGGGTCAGTCCCGCCTCCAACCGGAAGTTTCCTTGCCTCAAGTTCCGCCGTCGCCCCGCCCCCTGGCCTTTGCCCCGATGAGGGCGGGACTTCCTGTATCGTGTGTCTAAGGGCTTCCAAAGTGAGGCCAGGTTGTGAGGGCCGGCGCTTGGTGCTGCGGCCGTGGATCTGGCTCTGGCTTAGCTCGGGCCTGGTGCACGGGTGTTCACCCACTCATTCGTGCAGTTATCGTCACTGTCCTCACACGAGCCTCCGGGAGGCCTTGGGGCCCTGAACGCCCAAGTGTGGGCCTGTCCGCAGGTTCGGAGAGGGCCATGGAGGTGCGGCCGCCGGCGCCACGGTGCCTCTTCTGTAGGGCGCTGGGTCCTTTCCCTCGGGTCTTTGCTGCGGGAGGTGTGGCTGCCGATTCGGAGGCCCTTGCGGAGGACCAGAAGCTGCGTTCCTACGTCCCAGAACCCCGTTACCCGGAATCCGGATGGGACCGCCTCCGGGAGCTGTTTGTGAAAGAGTAAAAGTGCCTAGGGTCTGTGGGGAGGGGCTGCGAAGATGTCTTGAAACTTGGGTCATCCTGGGGCGAAGGACCCAGGGCGGTGTGGTTTATTTTTAAATGGGCTTTGGGGTTCTAATATTTGTACCCCAAGCTGTTATCCTTACATTGCAGTTTGGTAGTTCTGTTGATTGACAGGCCGGTTATCAAATGTTAAGGATGAGATTCATTGAAAGCCAGAGTTCTTAGGGATATTTAGGGAATATGGTCTTAGTGTAGTCCCTGATTTTACACATTAGAAGAATTGGACCGAGCTAATTAGTGTCGGAATTGACCCTGGAACCCATATTGCAGGATTCCACTCCAGTATTTTCGTATTTTCGCTGGATCCCAAACTTTGATATTTCGTGAGCAGTAGCCCCTCGCCCCTCCAAAAAAATGTAGGTTGGAGAGATGGCAGAGAGAGTTGTAAAACTTTTATTCTGCCAAATAAGGAATACATTAAAAATAGTAGCAACTATTGTCTCATCATCTTATAAAAGAAAAGATATTAACTGGATTCACAAATAAGGATATTTAAGAATAAAGGATAACCCTTCAAACTGAAGTAACTTTAATGAAAAACTCAGGATATTTCATTCATTCATTTCATCACTTACTCATTCATCGATTACTGGTGAGAAATTTGCCCTTTCTGACTACTTTACTGTACTACACTGTGTTATCGAGTGGTTAAATTAACTTTGAAGATTTGCTATGTTGTTGAGATAGTTGGGACAAGAGAGCTGGTAGAATTATATTTAATTACTTTATATAGATTCCATCATCTTACTTTTTAAGATAATGAGGCAACCTTTCTCATTGGTCTTTCCAGTATTTATTTGAAATACTTGTGAAAGATCCTATGTCATATATAACAGAAGAAGGTTAGTTTTTGATCAGCTTTATTATTAACTACAGAATGTTGGAGCTTAAAGAAATTTGAAAGTGTAACTTTGGTGTTCCCCTCCATGTCATGAATGAGGAAACCAAGATTCAGAAATGGTGATCTGGCTGTAGATCACTTAGCAGTGAGTGACAGAACCACAACCCCATTATTGTTACCATAGTCTAGATCCTTCCCACCAGTGTGCTGTGTGTCTTCACCATTCATTAGCGTTTGGGCCAACTATAGAACTTTTTAGAGCCTCCAATTCCATATTGATAAAATGGAGATAAATATCACCTATGTCATGGAATTTTTCAGAGGATGAAAAAGAGGCAGAGCATCTACATCTCCTGGCTTGTTAAATCTTAAGCTCTTTGCCATTTTCTCTTTTCTGAGTTCTGCCATAGACCAGTTTTTATGTAAATATTGTTTTTGATCTTATTCACTATAAAAGATAAAATATAAAGTTCAAATTACAGCAGTTTTTCTTATTGATATAAGTTTAAGAATTACAGTTTCTAAGAAATTTTATTTAGATTTCTCTCGGAGATGCAGGAACTGTAAAGATCCACTGACTGATTTCAGAAATGTTGTTGTTGGCATTTAGAATTAGATAAACACTTGTATGATCTCTGAAGAAAGCAATTTAGTAATGTAAATAATTAGCATTTAGTAGTTTACTTACCTAGGAGAGCCATTATTTATAGTAACTTAATACTTACAAACTTAGCTATTTTTTAGAGCAATTTCTGGAGGACATCTTGGAAGCTCCACTAGTGGTTCTAGTTTCTTAAGCTTTTGAGAGTAATAAATTGAATAAACGGTTGTTCCTTGTTATTTTGGGTTGGTCAGTGCTGCCCACTGCATAGTGAGAGTTCTCATTCAGTGCTTTTTATAGTACAGATCCATCTTAGCGTGACAAAAAAGTTAAAGTGTTCAGAAAAATAGGGTTTAGATTTTTTGTTCCATCGGAATTTTATTCTTGCATACATTGTCCTCAAATCCCATAAGTTTGTAATTTCCAAAAAGTTAGCTTAAATTCAAAAGAGGAAATATTGATCTCCACATCCAACTCACAATTTCTTCCTGTTTCCAGGGATATGGTAGAGTTGTAATAGTCATCAAATAAAAGCACCTTTAAAAAAACCTTTTTGTTGGGGTATAATATGCATCTAGAAGAATGTACATTAGTATACTGATCAATGAATTTTCACAAACTAAACATAGCTGTGTAACCGAGAGATTGTTACCAGCATCCCGGAAACCACCCTTGTGCTCCTTCCAGTCAGTGCCTTCCCAAGAGTAACCCACCACTACCCTAATTTCTATAGCATAGATCAGTGTGGGCTAAGATTTTAGCTACTTGTAACATAATTGTACTATTTAATTCATTAGAGGATTTAATTGGTTCTGCCCATAATGAAAAATGTAGTAGTGTTAGCATTTGAAATATTCTGATCATACTGTCTTTTGGAGAGCAGTATCCATAAGCTAATCGCAAACATTGTCTTTTTGATGTTTTAGTGAACACCAGAGAACTTCAAAGGAACTTGAGAATATTTATCAAGCAGCAGTTTCAGCAGGCATCATTGGCTGGGCATATGGGGGAATACCAGCTTTTATTCATGCTAAACAGCGCTACATTGAGCAGAGCCAAGCAGAAATTTATCATAACCGGTTTGATGCTGTGGTACGTACTGGTGTTCTAATAGGATTTGGGGATACACCAGTTTAGCCGTTCACTTTACACTTAATCATTCAGTTAGGTGGTGGGGTTGGGAGGGTTCAGGATGTCAGACTAAAGAAACAATGTTTATACTTAATAACAATGGAAGTACTAATGCTGAAGTGCACACACATGGCTTGTCAGACCACTTTTCTTGTTCTCAGAAGGGATCACCATGATGGCTGTACTTGCTGAAATATATTTCTTTTTTTTTTTTTAAAGATTTTATTTATTTCTTTATTTTCCCCCCAAAGCCTCAGTAGATAGTTGTATGTCGTAGCTGCACATCCTTCTAGTTGCTGTATGTGGGACGCGGCCCCAGCATGGCCGGAGAAGCGGTGTGTCGCTGTGCACCCGGGATCCGAACCCGGGCCGCCAGCAGCGGAGCGCGCGCACTTAACCGCCAAGCCACCAGGCCGGCCCAGAAATATATTTCTAATCTGCTAAATCATCAAGGCTCAGCTGTAGCATATTTACTCCATTCACAAAGCCTCCATGGAGTACATACAATAGCTCACACTAAACAATAATTAACATTTATAACTATAACTTTATGGTTTATAGAGTACTAACTCATTTGGTATGTCTTAGATCTGTACATCAATTCTGATATATTAGTGAGGAAGTTACAGCTCAGAGAGTTTTTTTGTTTTGGGGTTTTTTTTAAAAATTATGTCAGACTTAGAGAAAAGTTGCAAAAGTAGTACAAAGAATTCCTATATGCCTTTCACCCAGATTCTCCAAATGTTAACATTTTACCACATTTGCTTTATCATTCTCTTTCATTTTTTTGTGAACTGCTTGAGAGTAAGTTATAGACATGATGAAAACTTC